AATTTTTAAAAATTTTGATGGTATTTAAACTTTATGAAATAAATAAGTAAATGCATCTTTTATCAGGAAGAAGTTTGGATGAGAAGTCACTACTAAATTGTGAACTTTTTCTATACTGTTTCTGCTAAAGTCATTAGTAAAAAACTAAAGTTTGGCAAAGTTTAGTCATTAAAAAACAAAAAATAAGGAAAAAAAATTTGATAAAATCCAAAAAAAAAACATCTAAAATTTTTACAAGTTTTGGGCGTTGTGTACGCCAGGACATACGAGTTAACCATGAAGAAACATTTAATGATGGCCAAGCATGTAAAACAATAAAATCTGTTTTGTTTATAACCTGAAAAGCAATCAGTTGTAAAAAAGTCAGGTAATTTTAAGGTCACATTAATATACTCATAAATCTTTATCAATAATCCATCAAAATCCAAACTAATTACCTCTAATTCAATCTCAACTCTTCCCAAGAAAGTTAGTTGGCTCAAATTTGGTTGAAGATGTAGTCGATAATTGATGGGTTTAATCCTGTGTGGTAATCTTATACGCCGCCATGGAAAATTGGCATCGCAATCATCTTCAGAATCTTCCTCTTCTGACTGGTCACTTTCATCTGCGTGATCCGCAGTCGTTTCTTCCACTTCTGCATTCGGCAAAACTGTAGTTACAACTTCTGACGATTCTTCAGTAAAATTTTGTACAGGTAACGTCTAAATTTACACGTTTTATTTGTTTTAAAACCAAAGATCTTTTGAAATGTCAAAAATTACTGTATAAATTGTTTAGTACACTTCTGAAGCGTGTATTTTTTGAGGTAAAAAGAAATTTTTGTAAAGCAACAATCGATAAGTTAAATTCTATAAAAGCTATAAATTTTGGTACGTTAATAAGTTGCTGTTTTGCAGTTATAAAAGTAATCAAACAACTTAAATTGTCAAAATTCTTTTAACCAAGTTTCGGTTTTTCCCTTTTAATTTGGCATATAAGACTGCACAAAATCTATGAACTAATATAGCCTTCGCAGTTGACCATCAAACTGCTGTATTTCAGAATAGCTTTAAAGTTTTAGCAACTACATTAAAAAGATTGATCGTAGCAGAAATTGTAGTTAAAGTTTCACAAATAACTGATAAAAATGAATTCGTGTTTCAAGTTCATATTCTTTTTTTTTTTTTTATAATTATAGCAGAAATGATTGAACAGTTTTTTTCTATTATTTCTTTAACTTCTTGTAAATAACGATAGAAATTTATTCTAAAATAAAACTCAGGTTTTTTCTCCCTTCTTCAAATGTAACTTTTGCAAAAAAATAACAGTTTTTTTCTTGATTTAAATAGGCAACAAATTAGCATAATTTGTGAAATGTAAACGGATAAAAAGAAAAAAAAAAAGAGGCAATGAGATGAAAAAAAGATTTGCGAAACGTTTATAGCACATAAATAAGAATAACTGAAAATTGTTTTTTATTCTGAGGAATGAATAGCTGTTGGTAGAAGAATAGATCTTTTGATAATATCAAAAGTTTTTTACGTCAGTTACTGGTGGGTGACTTTTTTTTATCATTGAAAAGAAAAAGAAGCATGTGACCAAATAAAATCAGTTTGTTTAGCAAAATTGGTTACTATAATTTCTGTAAAAGCAAAACAGGAAAAAATCTAGCTTAATTAGAAAACTACCTAAAATAGTTACAAGACTAAAGACAATTTCAAAAGTAAAAAAAAATTAAGCAAAATATTACAGTGTTACTATACAATTCCGAACATTGATAATTTTATTCGCAACTTGTAATTAATTAGACAAAAAGGTGAAATTAGGGCTTAAAAAAGCAGCGTTAAAACTAACATTATTAAGCCATTGTAAAGATTCTTCTTGATCCTCATGAAGCTTCCCCTGTTCTGCCTGACTATCCTGTTTTTCCAGTTCTTGTAACTGTTGCTGCCTTTGCTGCTCCTCCTGCTGCTGTTTTTGTTCTGATTCTGTTGAACATTTTGTCTGCTCAAGAACGTTGCTTAACAGCAATATACCAATTACAATACCAATAATCATGACGATAACACAAGTGGCTATACAAGCGAATATTCCTGCTGTACGCCTTGATGGTCGACTACTATTTCGTTGAGGTACAGCCTTAACTGTCCATTGGCCTAAATATTTGCATTAAAATTTTGATGATTTGGCATCGTTTTCTATGTGCATTTCTTTTTTTCTTTGATTACATCTTCATACAATGGTAACAGATATCCTATGTTAACGTATTACAACT